GAATTGTGAACGACGAAAATCTTATCCGAATTGGTCTCGATTTTGTTCAGACTTTCAAAGAAGAGTCTTTCAATTTTTGACATACTCTTTCATACTCTTCACCATTTGTACCGCTAAATTTGGGACTTGAAATCTGAGCGGTCTCGTCCGACCTGTCGTTGAAAAATCGTATCGTTATTCATGAATATGACTGCGTAAATTAGTATCTCGCATTTATTGAAAACAGTAGAAATAAAATCTGAATTATTCTGAATGCATATGACAGCTACATTTTTTGAAAGAAAATATCGTTCAAATGAAACATAAAAAATATATATTGTATATATATAGTATATTTTTGCTTGTTGTCTCTACGCTGTATATTATTTGAACCTTGCAAAATCAATCATCGCTTGACAAATCTCGATCATATCCTGACACCTGCCGATGAAAACGTCGATGTAACGAAATATACTCTCTGTGTCTAAGTCCCAGGGGTGAAATGTGAGATTGATGTGAGCGTTCGCAATCTGAAAATTATAGAACAAAATGTGTTTAAAAATTTATTTTATTGAGACAGATTTTTTTATTTTTTATGTGATTTTTATTCGACACACACAAAAATGCAAATGAAAATGTCTATATTATAACACAAACGGTGTTTTTCAGTTAATTTGAGATGTGCTGTAAAAAAATTAATGGAACAGAAAAAACGAAAGAGATGAGAGAATTCGCTGTATTATAATTCACAAAAATATCTAAAAATATATTTGGAAAAATATTTAACTAATACTTGTTTACACAAGATATACATGTATCTAGAAAGAAATTATTCGAATGACGTAAGAATGCGAAGGAGTGTGGACACGCGTTAGCGACCCATAAAACGGCACGTAATGCGATTACACGGATTTCTGCACAAAAGTCTAAGGAGTCATGTCACCTATCCCTTCGGGCACACATGGCGTGCTAACCGTGGCGCAACTCGAGAACAAGTAGTCAGGAGAGTCGGCGTATCGTCACACCGTTTCCCCAATTCCCACCTCTATTCCGACTTATCTGCCCACGGGAAAAACGTAAGTCGGTGTTATATTGCGATCTCTACTTGGAAGAAAAGCCCTTTTTTATCTTACTGTTTTGTACTTTTAAGAGGAGCGTTTCTCTAAGATAAATTGCGCGCTATTCCATCTTTAAATTTTAATTTTCTTAGCGCGAAGACGATCCTTTATTTGTGACTCTAAACTCGCAGGAAACTATTCTGCGAGATAGTTCTTGTTGGTTGTGCCTCGTTACACTTGAAATTATCATTTACAATCATAATTACTGCTGAAAACCGAAATCACTTTGTAACTCTTCCGCATTAACGGAGAGCTTCATCTCCTCACGTTGTCCAACGAGGGGTCTAAGTAGCTAAAGTAACTGTGCACACATAATTTAATGGGACTTTAACTCACCGCTTGTGGAAGGTGAATTTGCAGATAGCATAAAGTACTACGTTTTATATGCTTTTCGTTTATACGATCACTTGCTAACATTTAAATTCACATGTACTTTATAGAAATGGATTTTTACATATTAATTATTAAAATAAATATGCGACAAGTTTAAAAGCTATACGTAGACATATATTCATTATTATAATTATTATTATAATAACTTAACTCGTTTAATTGTTAACAATTGGAGAGAAAAATTTTAATTAAATTTAAATTGTGAATGAAATATGTAATAATTATGCATTAACATAAAATGTGTATATATGTTACATAATTTAAAAAATGTATGCATAATAATTCTATAAATATACGAGCCATTAACTTTATTGACTAATTGTTTCTATAAATAAATTAGGTTCTGTAAAATATATTATAGAATTTATTGTTTTTACAAAATTATATTTTTTATTTATTTAACATTTTAAATATATTTTTATATATCAAATATACTTCTATGCAATAGTAAACTTTTGATATAAATAATATATCTACACGCGCACACACATTAAAATATATATGTTAATATATGTATATATAATAATGTGTATGTGTATGTGTGTATGAATTTAAAGCTTAATGGCGCATAGAGAGAAAGAGAAAAAATTTTCTAGATTATATTAATATATATATAAAAAGCATGAATTTTTACCTCATAGTAAAGAGTCTTATAATCATTGCACAATTTGATACATTCATCCAACAACTTCATACTCTTTCTAGTCCGTCCCGCAAATACGTCTGCTAGATCGATGAAGTCTTTGCACATGACGACGATCTGATTGCTAAGAGCACTGAAGAGATTGCTTATCCTCTCGCAGGTATTGTAGTAGGGGGAGTTTAGCCAAATCGTCCTGAAGAGATGCATCATTTTTGGCAGATATTGAGCCACGTTTGCGGGAGCCGTGCAAGTTTTCAACTCGGCAGAAGTGTCCTTCAGAATGCTCAGGAACTCGATGTTCGATTTTGCCTCGACAGTACCGTGCTCGATTTCGTCCTTCAACATCAGGAATTGCCGTACATAAGTGGACTGTGCAGCCAATAATATGTCAATAATGAACTCCACCGTATTTTTATGCAACTGATGATTCAAGCCGCACAGGTTGTTGTCTGATAAAAACAAATAATATCGCTTATTAAATTCAATTATTATTACAGCACAAATTAAATCTCAAATAAAATTTGGAAATAAAACTTTTCGCTTTCTTATAAATATATACAAAATAGATTAAACTAACAAAAAATTCTACGTTTTACACTCTCCTTACTATGATTAAAAGTTCTAAAATAATGATATAAATTTCTTTGTAATTCTATAAGGTACACATGACAATGGGATTTCGCTAAAACGTTCCGTATTAAAGGAAACTTTTGTCCCTCCTAGAAAATCTCGCGGATATATATTATCAAGAAAACGCGATTCTCGTAGCTTTTACGTCTTTTCTTAGGAGTAAGCACTAACATCGATAAGTCCAGAAGTCATATTCGTCGTCAAGGCATAGTAACTCGTGCGGAGTTGCCTGTTCCTGGTCAGAGAGAGCTATTTTGATTTGGGTGGTCCAGTGGGCCACGACACCCTCCAGCCTCTTCACCAACTCCTTATCGACGCTACCCTCTTCCACAGTGAACTCCCTACTCTCCAGAGGTACATATATCACGGTTAAGCCCAGCATTTTGTACGTGAGGTCCGTTAAATTGCACAGAAAGGTGTCCAGTTTGTTGCAGAAGTCCGCTTTCACACATGTGTTTCGGTGCGATTAAGGAAAAGAAAATCCAGAAACGTGATGCAACACCTAGTTATCGCTGTTCCCGATACAACCATTTTTTATACCGTTATTTCGACGTCTATCACATGGAATTGCACCGTGTACGCGGCTGTTACATATCCGCTGATGGAGATTTATTGAACTGAATTGCCCACTATATCGTATATCGAAATGATCGACTACCTTGTCATTGTCACATCGATTTATAATCAGAAAAAAGTGAATAAAAATTGCATTTGAATTAAAATCATTTATTTAAATCTTAAAGATTGAGACTAAAACGTTCTACTATATATATATATATATATATATATATATATATTATGTTATTGCAGATTATATGCCGTTGTAAACTTCATAAAATTCACTATTAAAATGAGATATGTATGTACATTTTTTTCACGAGCGTTTCCTGTGAAAAATATTAATCCCACGTTCAGACTGAGATCTTTAAATTATTACTAATCGTAAGATGAATTAATAATCACCGAGATAGATATACATATGTTGCAGAGATAAAGAACGTCAGTAAGCAGAGGCAGAGTTTCTGAATGTTCTGATGTACAATTAGCAAAGGGACGCTTCGATCCGGTTAAAATCCGCTCAGGATCCATTAGAAATAATGAAGTGGCTCCCGTCCGCGAATGCAACGCAATCGTTTCTAACTCGACAGCGGAGTAATCCCGTTCGCGTACGTAGGCAAACATCGACGCTGGATTTACCAGGGACGGTGAGTTGTGCAGTGCATTTAGCCGAAAATTATGGTAATAATAACTTCATGCAATTCCCTGGTGTCCCTGCTTTTCCGCCGCCCGTTTCGCGGACAGTCCGGAACTTTGTGTCGTGCGTTGCGGTAACGGGATTGCAGTGCTAAAGTTGGAAATTCAGTTGGTAATGTCATCACGTTAGATTGTTATGACCTTAAGTCAGAGTAACTATGGACGATCGCGATGATCGCCCTTGGCATTGTGAGACCGGTCCGCCTTGGCTCCTTTATCACGAATTGACACTATACAGGCACTCATCGATCATTCTGTATGCATACAGGATTATCGTGCCATCGCAACTGACACCTCAAGGGATAGACAGTAATATTTTCAAGACCTACATCGATTTATAAAAATAACATTTTATATAATTACTGTGGGAGATTTTCAATATTAAAACAGAGAGAGAAACGTTATAATAATTAAAGAAACATTAAAAATAATACGAACATGATATATACTTAGAGCAAGAGAGCATATTAATTATTCGCGAATTATGTAACAAAAAATGGAAAAAAAACTACATGTGAGGTAAAAGTTGACTACGGCAGAATATCCGAAAATCCAATTGCCTCGATTGGATTGAAATTGCCTCGCAAAAATCGATCATATATCAGTATATATCAACGGATTCAAGCGGGAGATAAAATGTACGATGTCTCCCCTGGGCGTCCCTCGGCGGTGAAGCTTTTTAAACGTACATTTAAATCCGCGAAAAACTTTAAATCACCGCCGACTGCAAAATCAACCGGTCGCGGAACGCGGGATTTGAAAGTTAAACAGAATTTACATCGCACGGTGAAGCGCGGTCTCAAGTGGGTCACTCGAGGAGCCGCAAGAAGACGGGATATCGCGCCTGGACCCAATTAAAGTTTCGTAACTCGCGATCTGTACACGTACATTATTTGCCGAAACAAAACAAAAAGAGAAGAAGACGAAAGAGAGAGAGAGAAAAAATGAGAAAACTTTTGCGGGCCTTTCCTGTTGGCCTATCGTTATACATCCTTCGGTTCTGCAAATTCACGTCGCTCAGCCTCGGTGCTACTCGCGAAACTTTTCGCATTAGTTGCGCGAATTAATTGGGTAGTTTGACGGAAATGCAATAACAGATATGGAGAGGTAGCACAGAGAAGGATACTGTCCGGCCAAGTTTCGATTGTGAAGAAGATCGGCGCGAACACGTTCTGGATGACGTTCAGTGTATGGTCCTCCACCTTGTCGTTCAACGACCCGAAGAGAATGCGCTCGCGAAAGTTCTCCGGGTAGAGAATCTCGTTGGGCTGTCTCACGAAGTAGGTTAGCTCGTGCACGGGTACCGTAGGAAATGAAAATTCTGTGGTCAGGTCACCGTTCACGTGATAGACGCAGAGGACCGGAATGCTTGGGTCGTGGAAGAACTCGCGGATGTCCCTATCGCATTTCCACGTCCAATCGCCATCCGTCAGACCGCTCAGCGTTGTCATGTCCTTAATACACTGAATCTGAAAAAGGTTCCAAGGGTACCGAATTTTTCCGACTTCCTGCTTTCGGTACAAGAGCGCGAATAAATATTTTTCTTTTGTTTCTCAACGTATCTTATTTCTCGAAATATATGATTGCGAAATATGAAGATTAATCCAAGTTGTTGAGATATATCATATTTATTTATTTGTCGCTAGCGTTTATACAATCAAGAGATTTTATAGTTGTGTAAAATTTTCTGGAATAAATACAAGTGTCGTAAGAAATAAAATTAAAAAAATATATTTAATCTTAAAATTATACGTTCAATTTAAAATATAAATAAAAAGTTATTACTCACCAATTTGTTTATTTCGTCCATCCCATATATCGGACGCAATTCGTCTTCTTCATCCCCTTCGTCTTCACCTGCAACAATATCCGCTTGAGACAATCTCCACTACGGAATCTACGGATTGTGGATCCTGAAAATAAAATTTCATCTGCCCGCGCGGTCGTCCGCGTTCGCTGAAAAGGCGTTCTCTCGTAACTAATAAGGGTCATTGCAAAGAGGAAACAAATTCCAGGGGAGGCGCCGGCCGTTCGTTAGTCGTCAATTGGAGCGACGGCGCGCGATGGGTCCTCCTAAATCCGCCAGCCAGATTAAATAGAAGACATTCGTTTTAAGGGTCTGTCTCTCTCGCTCTCTCTCTCGTTCGTTCCGATATCATTCCTCAGGCCTTCTCCGCAGTCTCGATCCCATCCCGGGATCCATCCACCGCCGCCCGTTTGCCATCCGTGCCTTTGCTCTTGGCAATCTAATAGGAACTATAAATCGCAAGTAGAGCTAGTAAATCGACGGAAGAGGAAACACGTCGCGTCGCGATCGAGAGACGCTACCGTAGGCCACGTTGGAGCGATTTATCCTTCCGCTATGATAGCGGACATTATGCAGATACGACGATGTCTTCTTTCGCGACATCCAGCGAACTTATCAGGCTCACGTGTATATTTCCTCGCAGATATTCGCAAAATTATTAAACGTTGCTCAGCACGGTGAAGGAGATATCAGAAATAAAGTCGAACAATAATCTGAATGATAAATCAGTATTAATATATTATTTGATCCAAACATTATCTGGTCTGATAATAAATGTTGCGTATAGCACAGATGATGATTCTAAACAATATCCTCAAAATTATTAAACGTTGCTCAGCACGGTGAAGGAGAAATCAGAAATAAAGTCGAACAATAATCTGAATGATAAATCAGTATTAATATATTATTTGATCCAAACATTATCTGGTCTGATAATAAATATTGTGTATAGCACAGATGATGATTCTAAACAATATCCTCAAAATTATTAAACGTTGCTCAGCACGGTGAAGAAGATATCAGAAATAAAGTCGAACAATAATCTGAATGATAAATCAGTATTAATATATTATTTGATCCAAACATTATCTGGTCTAATAATAAATATTGCGTATAGCACAGATGATGATTCTAAACAATATCCTCAAAATTATTAAACGGTGCTCAGCACGGTGAAGGAGAAATCAGAAATAAAGTCGAACAATAATCTGAATGATACATCAGTATTAATATATTATTTGATCCAAACATTATCTGGTCTGATAATAAATGTTGCGTATAGCACAGATGATGATTCTAAACAATATCCTCAAAATTATTAAACGTTGCTCAGCACGGTGAAGAAGAAATCAGAAATAAGTCGAACAATAATCTGAATAATAAATCAGTATTAATATATTATTTGATCCAAACATTATCTGGTCTGATAATAAATGTTGCGTATAGCACAGATGATGATTCTAAACAATATCCTCAAAATTATTAAACGTTGCTCAGCACGGTGAAGGAGAAATCAGAAATAAAGTCGAACAATAATCTGAATGATAAATCAGTATTAATATATTATTTGATCCAAACATTATCTGGTCTGATAATAAATATTGCGTATAGCACAGATGATGATTCCAAACAATATCCTCAAGATATATGATTCAGAGATTCAAATATTATTCGATAAAATGCTGTTGATCTCTTTTCTTTTTACCGTCATCATCAAAGAACGCGATCATTCTGTGTCGTATAGATAATTGAATTTACGTGGTCTCTGCAGATTAATGTGAGATCAGATAGAGGATTTTACTGCAGTCGGCCGAGGGACAAAATCACCGTTCTCCATCATCCGTAACGCAACGTGACGTTAATTGTTTGCGGATCACGGATTTCTAGATCCTGCCGTTTCTTCTCGCTCGTGTTCACGTGGAAGAATAGATTCTCCGGATAATAACGTTAGTTCGCGTAGGATAGACGCGCGCATAGGTAAGCTTGCATATAGATTATCGGTTTACCAAGTTCACCTACTTTCGCGGATCGTGCAAATACCACGAGAACTCGCGGAGGGGACGAATTAGCTTCATTTTCACTAGGCGGATGCGATCGCGGAGAATCAAAGGGGAGTAAATTGCCATAATTCCGCATGGAGGGAGAGGGACAAATTAGGAATCTGCGGGCAATCTGCGCGGAATCTGCGAATGACCGATTAATCGTCGCAAAGTAGTTGGCTTACGCGCGATATATTATAATTTGCAAAATCGAGATTCGGGATAGTTGTTAATATACCGAACACTCTCTCGACGTGCGATCGTACATGTTCATTTCTCCTCTCTCTCTCTCACACACACATTTATCTCGTCTTTAAAATTATCGTGGAATTTATGATTATCGAATACACTCGCGGTATTCAGCGTATACAAAACAGCCATTGTAATTGCAAATTGGATGCGGCCATCGTCGAATTCGTGTTCAAATTCAAGCGCGTCGAGCTGTCGAGCGTACTTGCTTCAAATTAGCCGCATTATGGTTAACGTGGCCGTTATTATTGCTGCCTTGTTAATATTTGCAGAAGTATCGAGGAAATTATATATACGGTTGTCGTAACGCGCACGATTCGCGCCAACCAACAAATGAATTAAATAAATCCGTCCTGTTTAATTAATCAACGTCGCGCCGTAACAAAGTTATTCAAAAATTTATCAGTGATACGTATCAATCATGGATATCCGATCTAGAGATAACTGAATTACACACATCATGATTTAGAGTATATCTGAGAAGGATGTCGTGGAATAAAACCGGATAATTCGCCATTCGTCATCGAAAATCGCGTGGAAAACGAAAGTAATTTAATATTCCTCTCACGAATACTATCCTCATGATCGATTCCACGGATATCCTTGAAGATTTAATGGGGGAATTAGAAGGACGTGCGCGAGAAAGCAAGATATCGTACGAAACAGTGGTTGAAAACGATGGCTCGAAAATGTCGGAAATAGAACAGGCGGAGTGAAGGAGAAGAGCCGTGAAAAAGGAGCGGAAATTCGCGAGAGCAAAGAAAGTGGAAAGGTAGAGGGAGTGGATACATTTAATATTTTTCTCGTAAATCTTACCGCGCCTTTCCGCTTCATCGCTGGACTCGGCGTCCAAGTACTCTCGGCGTGGGTCCGGGGGCGGCTTATCTTTAACTTTATTTCTTCGTCTTTGCATTTTATTGACGGGGTGGCCTGCCGGCGTCGTCACCTCCCTCACACGAGCCTGTGCAGCTGATTTATGCGCCCGGTCCGACTGTTACGGCAACGAATCTTTCAGCGTTTTCGCCGTAGATATCCTCGAGCATCGTTGCGAAGTTGCTCGAGAGCAAGAAGAATGGTTTCGGCGGTAGATCGGCTTTTGGACCGATCGTTCGTTGTCGAAGAGGTTCTCAATATCTCATAAGAAATATCGCCGGTAGTTGTTTAGATAAAATTTCGATTACGCGAAAAGAGAAGTTGTGTACCATTTTTCGTCATTCGTGATCGTTATATGTGAGAATTTATGTTATTTATTAATATGTAAAATTTATTTAAATGTTTTGTGTTGTTAATTTTTTACTTTGTATTGTATATACTCTTAATATTAAAAATATATATATTTATTTATTGTTATTAAGTTATTTATTCTCTTCTTATAAATTAAAGCTTCAGAAAGGTAGTGAAAACTTTCCACTTCGTTACGTACATTACACGTCCCGGTGAGCAAATCGCGGAACTTCAGTTTATTAGGTTCATTGTGGCCGCTTATTCGTTAAAATTACGTGCATTACCTCATTTCAAAGCTACTATCTCATTTGCGTTAGAGAATAATCACGTGCATTTTATGCATGAATAATTGCTGCATCTGTTATAAGACCGAATAATATCAACTATAGGGCAATCTTAATAATGTAACAATTTTTTTTATTCATTTGATTTTGTATATCGTTTTTATAAAAGTATCAAATAGTAAGATAAAAAAATAATAAACTTAGAAACGCACATATAAAAGAGAGCGCATTTTAAGGATAACAAGCTTTTTATGGAGCTTAATTTAAGGAACTTATGGAGGAAAAATAATTCGTATATGTTTCTGGAAATATTAAAATTTTATATATATTATCTTTGACAAAATTATCTGCATAAATTCGTGAGTTACAATTTGCTAAAATAAAGCTAATTGTAAAAATAAAAACATACGAATTTCGCTAATTATTAATTTGCCTAATTGCACATTAATGAAATTTGCTAATTTTCAAATAAATTTATTTTTATCGCTTAATAATATTATATATCACACACATTATAAATAATTTGTGAATAATATAAATACGTTTGTAGATTAGTAAAAGAAATATTGACATTTTTGGTTTCAATTTTTACGCGTTTTGATGAAAGATATTTTAACGATGCAATTAGAATTTAAAAGAATAAAAAAAAATTATATATATTTAAAATTGTTTTAAAAAAAATTAAATTGAATGCTTAATTGCTTCTAAAAAGTATAAACATTGAGATAGAAAAATTATATTATATATATATTCAATAAAAGTTTAAACACAAGAATTTTGTAAAAGAATTTAAATAGTAAAAATATTTGTTTTTTCTTTTTTTTGTAATGAAAAAGGGACCTGCACGTCTTTGAATATTGATATATTTGATTATTGCGATTTATATTTCTCGTTCGTAAAAGATAAATACTTTTAATTATTCTAAAATATAAGATGTAAGCATGCAATCTCTTTTATCCTGATGCATTTTGCATGCAATCTCTTTTATTCTTCAGACAAACCAAAAATCTGACCATTTTTCATCACAGCTCTTTGATGCAGTAGATGAGTTGCCGTGCATATGAAAATATCATCAATGTAAAGCAATGGCTGTTTGAATGTGTATCGACGAAATATCCTGATATGGTTGTATGAATCACGTTCGCTGGTACGTGATCCTGCGTAACGCATAGAGGATCCATCCGCGAACGCACATTCAGTTAGATCGACGAACGAAAGGAGAAATTGCATCGGTCATTTATGGTGGGGGCAGGTCGATGGAATGAAATTAAAAGAGGCGAAGCTACAAGATTAAAAGGCAAAGCGGGACCTGCTCCGAGCTGAACAGTGTCGGTTGGCTGCTCGCGGAGACATTTGTATTCCCGGGAAAATCGTTATTGACCGATCAGAGAATTCGAATAGCTTTGTCGCGCCGTTCTTCCCTTTCTTTATTTCGCTCACCCTTTCATTGAAAAAAGAACGAGACAGAGCGTGAACATCGACATCTGTCTCGCCAAGAGCTTCGTCACGATATCCTCACACTCGCGCTATCGCTACGAATAGCAATCAGAAAGTAATCGTAGTATCCTAATACGGATATCATTTCTTTCTCTGTGAGATGAATCAGTAATATTTGATGTACACTTTTACAATATGTAGCAATTGAAATAGTAAAAGCAAATACATATGATTCACATTAAATGTAAATTATTTATATATAATTATATTTATTTATTTAATAATCGAGAGTATAAAAATTCTTTATATTATATTAGATACATCAGGTCATTAAATATTAGACATTCTAAACAGAGTATGCGGCTCTATGTTTCGAAATTAAACGAAGAATTTACAATAGGAAGCTCCAAGCTCTAGCGTCACAATTTTCTTCACCGATAGCTCAGCGCGATCGTAATAGCTGTCTAAAGTTTCCTCAGAAATATGGGCCAAAATACCAAAATATACCTATAGACTATACAGACCGGAAAGCGGAAATTGAGCTAGAACACGAGACGAGTTTTGCCAGGAAGAACTAGTTATGAAATACGATGCATCTCTCGCTCTCTCTCTCTCTCTCTCTCTCTCTCTCTCTCTCTTACTTTTTAGATAGTAAAAGATGCAGGCTTTACGTAAACTTAATCGAGTAAAACAGATACACACATATTTAAGTATGTTCACTTCACAGTACCTATTAAAATGTTTTCGACAAAGTACGTGAGTTTTTATTTCTTGGTGTTTGCACAAATCGATACGAAAAGCGCGCGTGTTGTCCATATTAATAAGTTTTAATGAAGCAATACATAATTTTTTCAAAGTTTCAAAGTCGCGATTTAGATACTCTAACGTTAAGTATTGACACGTATTTTTAAATACTTTTTATTATCGAACTGAGAATCATTAGATTCATATTTTCCTATATTTTGAAACATGCTATTGCATTTATTAACAAGTTATTTTATCAAAGTTTTTAGTCGCGATTTAGATACCACAACGTTAAATCATAACACGGGTTTTTATTTCTTTTTTTATCGATCTGAAGATAATTTTATTCATATTTTTCTATATTTTTGAACTCGTTCGTTCATTTATGATTTCAACAATTATTAAAGAAATAGTTATTATCAGTAGAGATTATTACAAAACGATAATTTATAATTTCAAATCTTGTTATTTCGATTTTTACTTGATTATAAATATATTTACATATAATTGAGTGTCAAACAGACAATAAGAGCCAAATCGCAAATGACAGTGCGTTATCCAGCGAAACTAAATTTTTTCGTTAGGATTAAAAACTTGTGCACAAGGCCTAAATTTTTACTTGGACACGGCCAAGATTAAAATTGGAATAATCTCTACAAGAGATTTAATTCCATATATCCCTGTTTCCCTCCTTAAGGAAATAAATGCGAGAGAAAAATTTTTTTCGTTGGGATAACGCACTGTCATCCGCGATTTGGCTCTTATTGCCTGTTTGACACTCAATTTATATTTATATTATATTACGAGCCTTGTTAAATTCTTAATTTACATATTAATTGTAAATCAATTATCATAGCAAAAATATTATTCTAATATTGATATGTTTCGAAAAGGAATTCGGAACGTTTCGCGTCACTATGTACCTGTACGAATGTCAACGTGCCAATAATAACAAGCATGTCAATAATAACGCCGCTTGACGATAGCGCAGCCAAATACTATGATAATTTATTGTTACAATATTTTGTGCACTGCATGGATGGGATTATAATTGTGCATTGGTAGGATATACATAGTCTGCGCGCTAATTCCACAGTCTCATCATTCGTACAGTGAGATTGAAATGAGAAGGTAAAGATATAATCGCGCTCCATAACATATCGTATTATTATACGTAATATTATATAATATGCGAAATATATGATTTATTCTATATAATTATTATAATTAGCAATTATCAGACCGAGATTATTTTTAAAATGCTTATATAATTTAATATTTCCTATATGTATATTATAATTATGTCATATGTAGTACGTAAAATTTCGACAATATTTATTAATGATAAATATACATTTTATCATCTTATCGTTCGACTTTTCAACGATCTAAATATAATTCGGCTTGAAAACTCGCAGTAAAATAAATCAAATTGAACCGCAGAGTCGAGTAATTAAAATACGGATAAGCTTCGTGATACATTACACACAATGTTTAATAAATAATTAATCATACTTTAAAATGCTCATATAAATTTATTCTGCATGTATATATATATGTATATAATTCCAAAATCATTTATAATATTTTAATTTTGTATTTTTGTAATAGAAAATTTTCCTTTAGTAATTATTGATAATTATAATTTTGATTAATCATAATTTTGTTAGTTATTATGCAACATACAAGAAGATCACATTGTATCTATAATTTAATGACATAATTACAGTTGCACTTTACAAAATAATTATTCTCGATGTAGGATTATATTCTTCTATTCGTAATACGTTATTTTCCTTTTGTTGCATCCAAAGCTCATTTATATAATTATCTGAAATAAATTATCAATCTGTACAAGTTTCTATAGATTTGATATATATATACATTATGGTGTGTAAATATGTAAATTTGAAGCAAATAATGAGATAAAAAGACAATACAATTCATTATAATTACTTACAAGTTGTGGTATCTATCAATATATTAGAGAATATTAATTGTATTTCTGATAGTTATATAATGTAAAAATATAGTAAAATATGCAATTAGGTCAATGTAACAGCTTCGGCAATTTAAATTATAAAATGTACCAGCGTAAATTTCAAGAGGCTATTCATAATACATTTAGCAATTGTGTTCTCCCTTTTAATTCGATCTGCGGCATACAAAAAATAATTAAAAATATGAAGTCATTGGATGACTTCCTGTTACTACTTGCAGAATT